TCTAAAATTTTCATCATCTAACATCAAAACTTAATAGAATAACCAAACGTCAAAGCTTAACAGAATGACCAAAAAGAAGTTAGAGTTCAAACTTTAGAGATCAAAAATGAACTTTTTTTAAATAAAGGGACTAGAAAAAAGCTTTTTATCAAAGTAGGAGGACCAAATTAGGATTTTAACCTTTACAATTTAACGTAGTCTGCAGTCTGCAGTGTACAAATTAATACAATTTGGAAGCATATATCCACGTTTAGATTTTTCCTGCTAATCTCAAAATCTGTCTGTTTAATGAGTCAAACGTAATATATTTCAGATTCATGGTAAACATCCATATCTCCCTACCTATATATGCTCCTCACTGCTCTTTCAATTTCCCAACCGCTGCGGCCCTCACCCTGCACTGAACCACGTCTCTTCGCTGTTCGCTGTCTTTCACCTTGTATCCCAGACACAGACCCAATCGGTACGTATATATTAACGCTTTCCTTAATTAATTAATTTTCAGCATCTTCTACTTCTCATGGAATGATAGAAACACACACAACCAATATATATATATATATATATATATCTGCAAAATCCCAGTTGGGTTTTTCCGGATGAAATCTCGTACTTCATTTGATTTTACCTGTTGATTGTTACAAAACACATGTTGTCTTCTTTTTAGTGGTACTGAAAACCCAGCTTTGTGCACCGGAAAATGGTTTCCGGCGACGGTTCGTGGATCGATACAATTATTAAAAATATATATAAAATAATAGAATAAAATTGTTGTGGGTGGGGTGTGAAAAGGATATCGACTATCAAGAAACGTAAAGGTAGTGGGTGGGACGGCATTAGCGGAGTTGGCCGCAAATGCCTAAATCTCCCTTTGTTTTCTTCTGCTTAAATGCATTTCTTCGGCGTGAAGAGATAGAAGGTCGGGGTTCATGTGTGTGACGTATCAGCAAATTATTCATTTTTTTCTGTCTAGCTTTAAATTCGTTTCACATCCATGATTGATTTTATTTTATATTTTTTTTATTTTAAATTATATAATAAAAAATAACTTATTCTTATCTCATAACACCCAACACTCATATATCATTTTTTTTCTTTTATATTTTGTGTTCCATTGGAGAAGTGAACATTTTTTCTACTAATTTAAATTATGAAGCTCTTAACTTCTTCTGTCTTTAAATATGAACTTCTGGTAATGGTCTTTCAAACCCAGATCTCAATCTTAGTAGCCGTGCGTCAATGAAGTTAATTAAACTCTAGTTAGTTATTTTATTATTATTATTATTTTAATTATTGAATCAAGATGTTTCATTGACGAGACATATTTTCTTTTAGTTTGTAGGATCGATAAAATAAAAAGTCAGCCTTAAAATAACAAAAGTATCCACAAGAGTTGAACTGGAAAACTCAAAATTTTGTGGTTATTATTGTCATTTTAAAGTTTGAATTATATAATTAGTAGTCAGTAGTATTTTATTTTGTTTATCCAGACTTTCAAAAAAAAAAAAAATGAAATTAAAAAATGTTTTTGATTTATTTATGAAAAAAAGAATGATGTACCTATAAAATTATTTAAATGTTAATAAATCTCTTGTACATATTGATTCATCAAGGACATTTGAATCTTTTCATAGTTATTCCTATTTTTTTTTATCGCAGGTTTATTTGAAAATTCGCATTTAAAAAAAATTGTTCCTTGAATATACTTACAATTAATAATTTCTCCAGATGTTATAAATCTAATATTTAAGTTATAGATATTAAGTTTACATATTTGAGGTGGATAGAAGGATCATGTGAAAAAGACAGCTATTCTATGTCACATGGCCTAATTAATTTTATGTATATAATAAAAGTGTTACAACTAAGGGTTTGTTTGAAATTGTTGTGAAGTGCTGTGACTGTAGTTATAGTTGTGCTTATCTGTGACTGTACTGTGTTGTATTTGTTGTTGAGGCTGAAAGTTATGTTAATGTTTGGTTATTTATTTTTTAAAAGTATTATAGATGAAATATGATAGATTTTATTAAATATTAATTAAAATTTAAAAAATATTATAAGATATATAATTATTAAAATATAATATTTATTATTTTTTAATAATTTAGGTTTTAAAATTTTTTTAAATTATTAAAGTATTATAAATTATAATGTAATTAAATTATATGAAATTGAGTTTTAATGGGTAATTTTGTAATTATATTAAATATTAAGTATTTTTTTGTAAAAGTTATAGTCAAAAAGTTTCAAAATGAGATTTTTGGCTTTATACATAAAATTATTGTAAATCTGCTGTGACTTCTTATAGTTTTTTAAAAAAATAGTTTGAAAAAAAAAGATTAAATACACATATATCTAAAAGTGCTATATGATTACACAAAAAAGCTCACAACGACAATCCTAAATGTATCCTAAAACAACAATATTAGGAATATATGGTTTTTTATG